TAATAAAGGGAAAAGAAACACATGCGTATATGCCTTCGATGGCTCAGGACGCAGTTATTGAAGTGGTCTTTGTCTTAATCTATTCAGAAGCACTGAAAAATATTTTTTGTTTTATCCTTCCTATTATGAGAAAATCAAAAGGTGAAACGGTTTGATAAGCGTACTTTTCAAGTAGCTAATGCCGACGAAAAAGATTAAACGAGGTAGTTGCATATATTTCGTGTTTTTTTTCTCATTAGCCATCTACACTGATCTGATTTCCTATTTTCCAGTAAAAAAAAAAAAAAACATCTACACACAACGATTTGGTCCAATAGCCTAAACTATACGTTTCGTTGATACCTTTTACCTACAAAGATGCAAACCATATAGTATTCCTGTAAATATTTTTTAAATCAACATTACCTGGTTTTCAGAGCTGTTCTCGTAATGCTGATCTGACGAATAAAAATTTTCCTGGAAAAAAGAAAAATGCTATTAACATGCATGTATTGTACATACAGTACCTGCTTGATTCTTTAATTGTTTTTGTTTTCTATATATACCGTATACCTATAAACCAGCACAAAGAAAAAGACAAGAGGAAGGAATTAGACGAACAAAACAAACACACAAAACGCCGCCTTGCCTCGTGCACACGCGCGCCTGAGTCCTGGCGGAGGCCTCCTTGACCCAAGACGTCGCGAATGCTCTCTCGCAGGTCTCGCGAAGTCCCTGACGGCAGGCTATCTAGCGCTGTCAGCAGTCTTATCAGCAGCTCGAGGGTTTTGTTCAATTTTTCTTGGCTCTGCAAAACAACGAAGGTAGATTTAGCGACTGGAGATGAATTCGCAGCTATTATTTAAAGAAAAATTGAAAGGAAAATGGTCTGCAGCACAAGGTAGTGAAGGAGGAAGGGGAAGAGGAGTTAGCGGAGGCCGAGGAGGAGGAGGAGAGAAGAAGAAGAAGAAGAAGAAGAAGAAGAAGAAGAAGAAGAAGAAGAAGAAGAAGAAGAAGAAGAAGAAGAAGAAGAAGAAGAAGAAGAAGAAGAAGAAGAAGAAGGAGGGAGAAGAGGAGCTGGAAAAGAAGACAACGAAAACGAAGAAAAACAAAAGAAGGAGGAGGAGGCGAGAGAACAAAATACAAATATACGTAAATAGAAAATCGAGAAAAGTATGTTCCTTTTACCGATGTCCCCAAGAACAGATTTACCAAACAACAGCGTAACTCTCTTATTTGACAATCATTAATACAAATTATTATTGACTCACCTCAACTAAGGCGTTGATTTTCTCTGAAGTCCGGTCTTGTTCCTTCCGAAGGGCGCATATGTCCTGTTAAGTGAAGGACACTCTGTTATGTAAATTCACTCACACAATTATTGGCATGTATATTCTATATATATATGTGTGTGTTATATGTATGTATATATATGTGTGTGTGCGTGTGTGTGTGAGTGTGTATTCCCCTTTCGCTCTTTCTCTTACCCTCTATTTCTCTTCCCTTCTCTATTCCTACTTCTATCTTTCTCTTCATCTCATCCTCTCTTTTCCCCTCTCCATTCTCCCCTCTCTCTTTCATCTCCCTCTCTCTCTCTCTTTCTCTTTCCCTCATTTTCTCTCTTTCTCCCTCTCCACCCTCCTCTCTCTTTCACTCTCCCTCTTTTTTTTACCTTCCCTCTCTCTTTCTCTTTCCTCATTCTCTCTCTTTCACCCTCTCCATTCTCCTCTCCCAGTCTCTCTCTCTCTCTCTCTCTCTCTCTCGTTCTCTTTCTCTTTACCTCATTCTCTCTCTTCCCCCCTCTCCATCTCTCTCTCCCTTTCCCTCATTTTTACTCTCTCTTCCTCATTCACTCATTCTCACTCACATACTCAATTACTCCCTCCTTCCCTCTCTCCTTGCTTCCCAGTTTCTCTCTCTCTCCATCTCCTTCTCACCTCTTCATCCCTTTCCTTCATCCTTCTCTTCTCACCCTTGTTTGTTATTCCTTCCCGTCTTCTCTTTATTCATCCACCCTCTTCCGGCTATCTTTCCATTTAACTTCCCTCCTTCGCTCTATCTCTTCTCTCCTTTTCCTCCCTCCCTTCCTTCCGTCTTTCCTTCCTCCGTTCCATCTTTCCTTTCTTCCTAATTTCCTCCCTCCCTCCCTCCTACCCTCCTTTACTTCTTCCCTCCCTCTCTCCCTTACTCACTAAACCCCTCCTTTCTTCCTTCCCCCCACACTTCCCTCCCTTCATCTCACCTTCTTTTTCCCTTCCCTTCCTTCTTTCATTTCTCTCCCTCCTTTTCCCCTCCCTGTACTCCCCCTATCTTTCCCTTCCCTTCCTTCTCCATTTCCCTCCCCTCAATCTTTCGCCCCTTCCCTTTCCTTTCCCTCCTCTCTCCCTCCTCCCCCCTACCCTTCCCTTCCTTCTCTCCATCCATCCACCCTTCTCTCCACCCACCCCTTTCTTTTCCTTCCCTTCCTTCCTCCATTTCCCTCCCTCCTCATATCTTTCCCTTCTCCTTCCCGCCTTCCCCT